CATTAGATCATTAGATGATCTCTGAGATCACTTAGAAATTGTGAAGCTGTGATTCGGAGGTCCAAAAAAGGAATATAGGAGTATAGCAGAATATAAGATTTGTATTACAAAAAAGTCACATGATCAGGGCTATTGAGGATGTTTTCCAGAACCCTATACACAGACAATATTTCAACATACATGTACATATATGCATGTACATTTGTGCACACACATATGTGCGCATGCATATTGTGCATATACATGTATGCACACACATGTGTATGGCTATGTTGTGTAATGTAGAGGAACCATTTACATCCACACGCATACACATGAATACATGCTTACATATATATATATATATATATGCACACACACATGTATATGAATGTATGTATGGGTGGGGGTTGAATTAGCCAATCAGTTAATTACTCTACCCCACTTAAAGTGCCAAGATGTTATGCTCTGATATCTTTATCATGTAATAACATAACAATCAATTAGAAATATGAATTGGCTTTGGCAAGAAATCTACTTAGAATGTATAAGGAGCTTGTTAGGCTTGTGTGGAACCAGGAAGCTAGTTTGGTATTTAGAACCTGAGAATCTGACATGAATGGTGAAAGCCTTCCAGCCAAAATTCTGAGAAAGAGTCAGTTGGTGGGAACGTGAAGAGTCGAGCCTCAGCCTAGACCGTATTCTCTTCTTTAACTCCACCTTGGCCACAGGAGGATCTTGTGAACTTTTCAGTGACCCTGGAATAACTAAGGGCAGTGATGACATGGGCAGCTTCTTTGAACCCACTTCCCCTGGACTCTGTCCTTGTAGAAGAATGTGTCACAGACTTTGGCGGGGGGGGGGGATGTTTTGTACCAACTGTTCTTACTATGACACCTTAGTAAATAACCTTTTCAAAGGCTAATCAAGCCTGGGTGACTAATTATTATCGATTGATAATTTGAAAATCAGAGTGGGGGGAGCACACAAGTTGGGAATTATGATCTATAGTACCTGGAAGACACCAGATACCCCTGCAGGCACACAGAAATTTCTGTTTGGGTTCCCAAAATGTCAGGTGTAGTGGGAATGGCCCGGTAACTTTCAGAGCATGTACTGCATACAAAAATGAAGAGAAATTAATTTAAGGTAAGAAAGATAAAGCAATATTTTGCAACTTTAAACTTCCATAAAAGGTCAATTTCCAGATATTAAAATTTCCTTTAATTCAGAGTCAATAAAATGTTTGTATTAAAAATCACAATGCACTTATTTTTAAAATAACATAGAGTATTGTATTAAATGTATCTTGACACTCAAAGAAATATACAGTTCACATTCCTTTACTCCATAACTGGGAAATCAATTATTCCAATATTATCATTAGTCTCCTCTCTCCTTTTGTATAAGACTGGATTAGTTTATTTTCTAACAGTTCTAAGAAATATTAAAAGGCTTAAATGGAAGAGGATATTAAGTGTTTACATTAATATTACATTACATTAATTATATTAAATATTTACATTATTTGAGGAATAAGTTAGGTGTATATATAATCATACTCTACAGAGTTTGCTGGAACTTGGAATACCTTGTCATACATACTTTATATAATTTCAGGGGCCATGATCCTATGTAAAATTCTGAGTTATCAACATGCTATACCAAAATACCAAATGATTAAAGTCCTTCTTAAAAGATGTTCACCAAAGTGACTGACAATGGTTTTAAGGAGAATAATGTAATCTATGTTCACTTCTAATATACAGTCTTAAGAACACAAATCTATCAAAGCACATATACACATTACCCCCTTTTTGTGGGTAGATTTAATCGCTATTAAAAAAAAGTTTTTGACAACCTTCCTCATACATAACAGCATACTTCCCTTTCTTCTCTTGGAACAGTTATCAGTAGAATGTGTTAAGTTGTCTTATAGGTTTCATTGAAACAAATTTCCATAAGCTTAGTTGAGTTTTTCTCTTCCTTTCCCTTCCTCAAATCAAGTCTGGAATGTGTGCCCTTTCTTATTAGTTCATCTTCTTATTTTAGAATTTCTTTATCTCAAGTGAAAATGCAATGAAAACCATTTTTTAAAATCACACTTTTTTTCAGTCCTGTAGGAGTTTAATGCCTCCTTTTTTCCTTATTCCCTTTACATCTTTACATTTCCCATCTTCTTTTAACTTCTTCTCTTTTGGAAAGATGGTAGCAAAAGCACTGCTATGGCTGTTCTGTCTGGAATCCACTACTCTGTGATTCAAAAAAATATTAATTTTGTGGTACCACAAAAATGGGTTTATTTCAAAGAGTGGTTGTAGTGAATATATTTGATCTGGTTCTGTTTCTGAATATTCTGCCTATGCAATGAAACTGTATTGTAATGTTGAGATTTGGAATTCTTTAATCTTGCAACTATGCCACAAGTCACTTTACCTAGAGGCAGCTAGGTGGATCAGTGGACAGAGCTCTGAGTCTGGAGTCAGGAAGATGTGAGTTCAAATCTAGCCTCAGGCATATAGTATGAGTTGTGATCTTGAACAAAGCACTTAACCTCTCTCTGACTCAGTTTCCTCAACTGTGAAATGGAGGTAATAACTGCCTCATAGGGTTGTTGTGAAGTTAAAATGAGATATTTGTAAAGTGCTTCTTATTGCCTGACACATAGTAGACACTTAATAAATGCTTGTTTCATTCCTTCCTTTATGTCTCTGCATCTCTATTTCCTCATCTGTAAAATGAGGGTGATGGATTGCATGACTGCTAAGGACTTTCCAGCTCTGTGTCTGTGATCTTTTCTCTGCCCTATTTGGAACAAGTCTTTAGGAAGCCAGGGCCCAGAAATAGACCAATAGCCTCAATAAACAGGTCCTTAATTGGGAATTGCTTTTCTAGAGCAACTTTTGAAATAGGAAGAAGTGAGTATCCTGTAAGACAGTGAAACATCTAGAGTTGTACTTATAAAAGACATTCTTTCTCTTGTCTCTGGGCATGTTTTCTTGTTGTCCCTCATGAATGGAATGTTCTCTCTCCTAAACTTTATTTCCTGGTTTCTCTCATGTACTTCACATCTCGGCTTAAATCCCACCACTTTCTAGAGAAAACCTTTCCCAATCTCTCTTAATTCTAGTATCTTTTTTCTTTCATTTCCAAGTTGTTCTGTATATAGATTGTATATAATTGTTTGTAATATGTAGATTGTGAGATCCTTGAGAACAGAGACTATCTTTTTGACTTTTTTTTTTTTTGGTGGGAGACAGAAGTATCTCTAGAACTTAAGAAACTCCCTGGTATATAGGAATCATTTATTACATGTTTATTGACTGACTCATTGACTTTCTATCTGTGGTGGCTAAAATGATTCAAAAAAAAAAAAGACAGAGTCGCCATGAAAAATGTTTTCACCTTTTTGAGGGCTGTAGTTGGTGCTACTTGTTGGAAGAACTGAATTGAGTGAAGATCACAGAAATGTTTATGAGTCAAGAGTTGGAAAGAATCTCAAATGGCCTGAACTTCAATGGGTAAAGGTTATAGTTGATTAGAGTTGGACTCTATGTAAGTAGCAAATCAAACATAACAATACTTACTAAAAATAAGATCTTTCCTAAAGTAGAATAGGTCATCTAAGAAAGCAGTAAGTTCTTTTTGGCTTAATTTCTTCAAGGAGAGGCTAGATGATTATATGTTTGGTGTGTTGGTGAGGAAATTCTTATTCAGGTTGGACTAGATTGCATCTTCAATTTCTTCCGTATTTGAGATACTGTGAATATGTAATTCTGTAGGCTACATAATCCCAAATCTTCTTGCCAAAATCTTTCATTTTGTTGCCTTGCCTTTGATCACTTGGTTGTTCTTCTCTGGACCATCATTCTATGGTTCTATATATTTTAAATTGTGGGATTCCTTTCTGAATCATCTCATAAATATGTGATCCCTTCAAAGGATAAGAAGACATCAACATACTAAATTCCTTCTATCTACACTAAGCTTGTTTTGATAAACTTAAACACAATAACCTAAAGATTTAATTGCTATGGTTACTCTGAGTAACTCTTCAAGTACATAGCCTAGCTGATGAAATAGATTTTGTTATGACAACTTGGAAATACAGTTAATTACATAGCTCTGTTCTTCAAAGAAATTACTCAAACTGCCCTGTTATAAGCATTAGTATTCAATAGAAATTTGCTGCAGTTGTCCATTTCTTTGTTTTTTAAACTAGTTCAGTTTTTAAAAAGCTGAATTTCATTTCAAGTGATTCTGCATTCAAATATTCTAAGATGACTTTTTTTCTGTCTTCTTTATAGAGCTCAGATAGCTGAAAGAGGGGAGAATACTAAAGGTGTGGAAAGATTATCTGATATTATTGTCAAAAAAGTTAACCTGAGAATATACTAACTACTGAAACTTATGCCTCTTTTTCCATCTCTTCAAAAGCTTTATCAAAATAAAATCTATATACATTGAGTGGATCCCTGAAAGTTACAAAATTATGAGAATAAAAGAGACAGTTTGACAAATAATATGGTATAGCAATATTTTGATAGATCAATTATCATATTGATGGAGGTGTCCCTAATTATTCAGATTGTGATTCATTCATGAATTCTTGTCCCTGCTAATGTCCTCCCTTCAATGAGGAGATTCACTGATTGTTCTTATACCTTCTTCTAGTGCTCTTGCCATCCTATGTATAGTAAAGGAACATCTAGGATGTCCATTTGTTACCTCCCACTCCTGTTGTATGACTGTCCCTTGTTAGTCATCTGTCCATTCTGGTCATAGTGATCACTGATAAAACAATACACACATGATTTTTATTCATTTTTGATAGCCTACTCACACTCTATTTTGTTGTTTGGATGATTTTTAACTATAACTCTTCAGAGTTACTAACATGTGGTGCTTTTAACTCTGTACCACTGGTGGAAGAATGTCAATATTAAATAGATGGTGTTTTGATGCAGATAAATAATTCAGGTTATTAAAACTACTTCATAATTTTCCAAAGGCAAACCAACCTTCTTTTCTTCTATTCAATTCTGGGCCCAGGTCATTCTCTGTGTTGATTATGTAACCAGTCATTGGCCATTCAGAGCAAACTGCAGCAACAAGAAAAGAAATAGAAAAAAATTATTTTCCAACTCTATGGAGTAAAGCAATGACACATAAGGGAGAAAATTCTCTTTGATACTTCCTTTCAGCAACAATCACACTTTTCCACTCCTCTGTGAACTCTTGGTGAGCTGTTACACCTAGACTTTGAGCATACAAGCCCTTATCCTGTGGGTTAGAATATCAATAAATAAATAAAAACATGTTTTTAATTTTAAAGTTTAAAATCCTGGTCCTATGCTATTTAAATTAATAAAGCCATCAAATATTTCAGGAATGTCTTGTTTGACTCTTCTTACAAAGGGGGAAAAGCTTTAATGAAAAATAAGGCCGATGTTATGACAAGGCAAAACACCCAATTAACTCTGAATTCAGGAAACCAATGAAAAGAAAGTGTAAGGAACTAAATTTCAAAGGGAAAATGGCAGGGTTGTGCTCATATTACCACTAGGACAATTACTAAATACATGTTACAAGACTGACAATGTTGTGACACAACTACAGTTCTACATGTATCTATTACTATATGAGAGCAGAACATTACATTTTTTACAGAAGACACAGATCTTTTAGCAACTACATCAGCCATGAACAGGAGTATCATGATGTAGTAGTAGACTATAGGAAGGTACCATGGCTGAATTACTCTGGGGTGATTCAGAGAATGTTGGAAAATCAAACAGCAGGATTTTAATATAGCCTGAGACATAATTGAATGTCTGTTCAAAAGGGAACAGGGATCAGTGTCAGGCTGTTTTTGTAAAGGATATTCTACAAATGAGGAAAGCAATTACACATGTCCAAAAACCAGTCACAGCAGGAATCAGGATACAGGCTCTGTTGTTAAAAGTGGTCCAATCTGCAGGTTCAGAATTCCACAGTCCATGGGCTATTCTTATGTCGAATATGCCTTCCTCTAGCCTCCCCACTCCTGAACATTTTCTGGCTGAAGGGTCTGGATAAATGCAAAGTGTGAACGGATCAATTCTTCAAACACCACAGGAATCCAGCTCCAAGTGTCTGTAGGAGTGCAGCATAATTTATATCCAGTGGATTACAGGAAGCCCTCAGGATTCAAGGATTCTCGATTCATTATCTCAAATATTTACACTGGAGCACCACTTTCCCCAAGCAACTTGATAACACTTTGTTATTGACTTCTCATAATTCTTATATGTTCACTACATGACTTCTTTTTATCTCCTCTTCTAAAAATACAGTGATTGTTGTGCTATCTCACCTTTCCCTTGTAGCCCTCACCCTGTCCTTCCTCAAGTTTTACATGCCTCATACTCTGTATGCTGGGTTTGGAGTCAGGAAGTCTTGAGTTCAAATACTGCTTTAAATACTTTCATATTCACTATGTAACAATGACTAAGTCACATAACCTTTTTGAGTCTCAATTGTCTAATCTGTGAAATGGTGATAATAATAACTGTTGTACCTACCTCCCAGGGTTTTTGTGAGACTCAAATGGGATAATATATTTTGGAACATTTTTCAAATTTCAAAGTTCTTTACAAATGCCAGTTGTTATTGCTATATCAGTGTGGATTGTTTTTTATTCATTCGAGAAGCACCATGTTGTTATCAAGGAATATATTATCCAGTTATCCTGGACTCTTATCATTTTATATGCAATCACTTCTCAAATTTGAAAAGTCAAACGTCATAACATTTCTCATATCCTTTGTCTTCTTTTCACACACATAGCCATCACAATAGATTAGGTCCACAAACCAACCAGGTTTCAGTTGTTAATCCAATATTAACACAGCTACCAAATTAATAATCATTTTTAAGGCTTAAATCATGTTACTTAACTACTCAAAAATCTTCACTCTATTTGCTCTATGACTTTCCTAGGCAACCCTCCTTAACCTGGATCAAGGCCAATCACCTCTGGTCTCCTAATTCCAGAAACTTTTCCAGTGTTTTAGAGGCTTTTTCTAAAACTTAACTATGTTGAACTACTAGCTCTTGCTTTCTAAATAGACTCCTGCAAGCCATTCCTTCCTCTTCTCTGGCCTATTGTGAGACAGCCACCTCAGCCTCATAGGACACCATATAACAAAATGGTATTAGGATGGAACTCAACAAAGGGCATTAAACATTCCAATTATTTGTCTCCTTCAGCTGACTTCTTTCCTACCATGATACTCTGCCTGGATTCTCCCCAGTGAGACTCGGTGGTTATCATATACCTAACCTATCAAATTCTTCTCAGTCCAGTGATTCTATTTGCTGCATAGCTGGAGTACAAACATTATTCCCCATCCTCAACTGCTGTCTCCCTCATTTCTGCACCCATCAATGCTATCTGCCAAATGTCTTACCCATTTCTTCTACTGTCTGGTAGGCCTGCTTAAAAATTAATAAATTGGCTTTCAATTTTTTACTGGTCTTTTTTTTAGGTCTCACTGAGCCTTAGCTCCCTTCTGATGACCCCTTCATCCCTGACCACCCTTTCAAATACTGGTTGCATGTTGTCTCTTACCCTTCCCTCACTGGACAAGTGGGGGAGTCATAATACTCCTTTCTTCCTTTCCTGATTATCTCTTTATCACTATCATTCATCAATTATTACCCCTCTGAGGCTGATACTCTTCAAATTTATCACCAATCCAGATACTGGTGATCATTTTCTATCAGTACACTCTTAAGTTCCTGCTCCATACAGGGATTCCCATTTCTATTTATCCACCACTTTCCTCTCCACTGAACTTCTATCTTGCACCAGCAACTGACATTTGGAGATCTTAAAGTGCATATCCTATAGGAATATCAAATTCAACATATTCAAGACAGAATTCATTTTTCTTCCTTAATTATCCTTTCTTTTGAATTTTCTTTCTCCATTACTGTTTGTGGCACTACCATCCTCATTGGTGTCATTCTCAACTCTTTTCTTGCATTCACTCCAATTCAATCTTGTCCTTTCTACTTTGATAACACTCACCATGGCACAGGCTTTTATCACCCTGTCCCTAAGCTACTGTAATAGTTGGCTAGCTATTCTTTCTACCTTTAGTCTCTTTCCATTCTAGTCCATCTTTCAATCAGTTGCAAGAAATAATCATACTAAAGCACATGTATAACTGTGTGACCACCCCTCCACTAAATTGAATAAACCCCACTGTTTTTTTTTTGTCAAGTGATTCCTTTGAAATCAAATCAAAAACATTTATTGAGTACTTACTATAGTCTAGGTCCTGTACTAATAGACAAGAATACAGATATAAGTAGAAAGAGAAGCAATCCCTTCCCTCAGGGAGCTTACATTCTAATGGAAGAAGACAACCCACAAAACAAAAAAGAAATTGGAGGGGATGAGGGGGAGAGTCAAAGTCCAGAGAGTCAAAAGCATCCTGGAAAGGAATAATAACATAGCTGGCCTGGATGTCCTTAAAATGGAGGTACTATGAGAAAACAGCTAATCAGGGGAGGAGGCTGCTTCTCTAGAAGAAGCAACAGGAGTGGAGGATCCTTCCTGCATGATGAATCCAGGATTGGGATGACCTTCTAGAATGAGGAAGCTTTTTTGTCATGGTAGAGATATTCTTCAAAGTCAGAAATGCATCCTGGTGAGAAATGAAGACATGCCTGGTCTGGGTGTCTTCCTTAAAATGGAGATTCTATTACCCCCAGGATCAAATAGAAAATCTTATATTTGGCTCTTAAAGCACTTTCATAACCTAGCCTTGTGATTTTCTAGTCTCATATTTTACTACCATGTACTCTAGTGAAAGGGCCATTTCTCTGGCCTTTTTTTTAGCATTTCTTGCACAGGATACTAGATCTCCATTGCTAGTGTCTTAATAATAATGATAATAGCTATCATTGATATAGCACCTACTGTGTGCCAGGCACTGAGCTCCATAAATATTTCCTAACAAGTCTGGGAGGTAAGTGCTATTGTTGCCTCTATTTTACAGATGAGGAAACTGTTTATCTCAGATAACTTTTTAAAGCTGTCATTTAGTATTTTATTTCCCCCCCAGTTACATATTAAAAAAAAAATTAACAATCATTTTTAATACTCTGAGTTCTGAATTGCCTCCCTTCCTCACTCCCCACACAGCATCCCCCTCTCCCCATTCAGAAGACAAGCAATTCAATATAGGTTATACATGTGTACTTATGCAAAACATATTCATAAAAGTCATGCTGTGAAATAAAACATAAACAAGAAATAAAAACTCAAGAAAAATAAAGAAAGAAAAAAAGTATCACATCTGCATTCAGCTATCATCAATTCTTTCTCTGGGGATGGATCACATTTTTCATCATAAATCCTTCAGACCTGTCTTAGATCACTGTATTGCTGAGAAAAGCCAAGTCATTCACATCTGATCATGTTATCACCTTGCTGTTATTTTGTACATAGTATATTTCACTTTGAATCCGCCCATACAAGTCTTTCTAGGTTTTTCTTAGAGCATCTTGTTCATCACTTTGTAGTATTCCATCATAATCACATCCACAACTTGTTCAGCTGTTCCACAATTGATGGGCATCCCCTCAACTTCTAATTCTTACCCCCAAGAAAAGACCTGCTATACATATTTTTGTAAATGTAAATCCTTTTCCTTTTTGGGACCTAGCAGTGGTATTGGACATAGTACTAAATTGCTCTACAGAATGGTTGAAATAGTTTACAACTCCACCAACAGTACATTACAGTCTCATTTTCCCCACACCCCTTCAATCATTTATCATTTACCTTTTCTTTCCTATTAATCAATATAATAGGTATGAGATAGTACTTCAAAATTGTTTTAATTTGCATTTCTCAAATCAATAGTGCGAACATTTTTTCATATGGCTTTAGATAGCTTTGATTACTTCATCTGGAAACTGTTTACATCTTTTGATTATTTAACAGTTGGAGAATGGCTCTATTCTTATTAATTAATTAATCACTTTCTGTATTCATTCATTCATTCATTCATTTATCTATCTATCTATTTATTCATTCATTCATTCATTCATCCACTTATTTATTTATTTATTTATTCGTTCATTCATTCATTTATTTATTTATTTATTTATTTATTTGTTTGTTTGTTTGTTTGTTTTTGGTGAGGCAATTGGGGTTAAGTGACTTGTCCAGGGTCACACAGCTAGTAAAGGTCAAGTGTCTGAGGCTGAATTTGAACTCAGGTCCTCCTGACGCCAAAGCTGGAACTCTTTTCACTGTACCACCCAGCTGCCCTGACTCTTATTTTAGTAAAGTTGACCCAGTTCTCTATATGATTAAGAAATGAGGCCTTTATCAGAGAAACTTGCTTCAAAATTTTTTTTCACAATTACTATTGCTAATTGTATTTCCCTCCATCCTATACCCGCCAGTTTATTCTATTTTCTCTCTCCTTTCACCCTGTCCTTACTCAAAAGCGTTTTGCTTCTGACTACCTTTTCCCACAATCTGCCCTCCTTTTTATCACTCCCTTCCTTCTCTTCTCCCCTCCACTCCTATGTTCCTGTAGGGTAAGACAGATTTCTTTTTTTTTTTTTTCAATTTTATTACAAGCATTTTTATTTACAGACCATTAGAAAAATAATCATGGCAGAGACTTGGGTTCATTCTTCTAATAATCCTGTG